CCAGTCTGTTATTTAGCGGAAAGGTGACCTGTAGGTGTAATTTCAGTTTAGAGTTTAAAGGGTGTATCAGGGTGATAGTCTCAGGGGTTCCTCTAGTCTCTACCAGTCTTTCCTTTTATGCCCTTTTTTTTTTTTTTTAAAGAATTAGAGTTTTGTTGTATAATTATCTCCTATTCTATCCAGGCCATATTTATGCCTTTTAATACACACTTTTTAAATTGAAATTTTGGAAGAAAAAGTAACTTTGTTGTTGCCACTTTGAAATACTTTGTTTCCTGGCCCCTGTTTTTCCACTCAAATAACTGATTTTCACAGTAATGTTTATGAGGTTGGATACCTTACAAATTCAGGTACCATGTTGTAGCATATTAAACTATTATCTAGAAATTTAGATTCAGATGAGTATTATTAGATACGTAAACATTTGCTGTACATTTCATATTAAGAATAATTATTCAAACAATTATATGTTTTATTTTATTTTCAACCATTCATAAGTTATTTTTCATTTGGCAGAGGGACATTTTGAGACATCTTTTTCAGCAAGAATGTTGGATTATGTTTTATGAACCCTAGCGTGACTGTAAGGTCTCTGGGTGGCGCAAGCAGTTTTCAGTCAGCTGCTAACCTAAAGGCTGATGGTTTGAACCCACCCAGAAGAAGGCCTGTCAGTTTGCTTTCCTAAAGATAACAGCCAAGAAAACCCTAGGGAACAGTTCTATTCTTTCACACGTGGGTTGCATAAGTCAGAACTGACTCGCTGGCAACAGGTATGGGTAGTATGACTGTATGCCTTTCTCATCTTTATGCTTGTGAATATAAGGTTGGCTTAGGATAGAATTCTTGCTTCATGGTGTTTTGCACTGAAAACTTTCTAGACATGTTTTCATTGTTTTCTAGTATCTTTATTTTTTCCTTTGTAGGTAACCTACTTTACCTAGTTGAATAATTTTTTTTTCTTTTGAAATTCAAATATTTACCCTACATATCGAAATGAATAATTTATTTTATAAGGATCAGCACAAAGCTGATTCCCATGAGGCAGAGGTGGAAGATGTCACAAATGTCTAACTTTTCCAAGCTTCTATACCACTCCATCATCTCCAGCGTCAACTACTCCCTCTCGCCTCAGTACTCTTCCTCCTGTCTTTGGGTTCCCTAATAGCCTGCAAAGTCTCAGAGAACTCACAAACCATATAAAGGAAATGGCTCGTGCAGTTGTGGAGGCTGGCAAGTCCCAAATTCATGGGTCAGGTGTAGACTTCTCCCTGGCCCTCAGTCTCTGCCCAGAGGCACTCAACTTTCTTGCTCCATGGGCTGGGAAGTCCACTGCGCCGTCTCCTGCGGGTTTCTGCTGCTGGTCTCTCCTTCTTTGGTGGTGGTGGGCTCACCTCTTTGCTCTGGAATTGGCTCTCTTTTAAGGCAAAACCGACCAGTCCCCTTGGTAGGCGCCCAGTTACCCTATCACACAATCACCTGGGTGGGAGTTACAAGACCATGGCTAGAGAGGGCACACACAAAAGTAATTAACCCACCACAATATCCAAGTGTGGATCCCCTTTAATTTTTTCTGGTTCTTGGTGATTTTAATGATCTGAATTTTTTAAGTCTTTTTTTGTTTGCTTATTTGTTTGCTTTAATAATGTTCAAAGCAATGCTTTTTCCTCTTTTTTTGATATTCTTATCATATGATGTTGAATTTCATGAAGTAGTTTCAGTGTCACTGTTGATACATCTTTTGAACTTTGCCTATGAGTTCTACCTAGTTCTGCCTAGATCCAGCAGGGTCAAATCATCCTTTAGATTCCTTTATTAGATTTGAAAATCCAATGGTTATATTTTTTTACCTTTAACGTGTGTGTGTGTGTATATATACATATATATATATATATATTCCCCCCCCCACCCCCGCATGATCCTAAATCTTACTGAGAATATAGTTTAAAAAACTTAGCACTTTTCTTCTTATTTTTAGGAAGGGTATCATAGAAGAAAATGAGCTCTAATTCCTCAGATTGGCCACTTCTTTCAGATTAATGAATCTTTTAATGTCCATTTATTATTTTTATTGTTCATTTTAGTATATGGAAATAAGAGAACTCATTAAATGACTGAGAGTTGAAATGGACTTTATTAACTCATGTCGGTTAGTGTTTGCCACACCCCCCTTTTTTTCAAACCTAGATGAAAGGAGAAGGGTGGATAGTCTAGATGTACTATTTTTTCTAAGTCACATTTGAGCTTTGGATGTTTTTGAAAAGAAAAGAGGAAATCACGGTTGGGTCCAAGATGTCAGAGTGGTTCACCATGTTGTTCTTGTCATGCTGTTAGGTGCCGTCAAGTCAGTTCTGATTCATAGCGACCCTATGTACAACAGAACAAAACACTGCTCGGTCCTGCGCCATCCTCACAATTGTTACGCTTGAGGGCATTGTTGCAGCCCCTGTGTCAGTCCATCTTGTTGAGGATCTTCCTCTTTTTCACTAACCCTCTACCAAGCATGATGTCCTTCTCCAGGGACTGACTCCTCCTGATAACATGTCCAAAGTATATGAAACGTAGTCTTGCCATCCTTGCTTCTAAGGAGCATTGTGATTGTACTTCTTCCAGGATACATTTGTTTGTTCTTTTGGCAGTCGATGGTATATTCAATATTCTTCACCAACACCACAATTCAAAGGCGTCTCTTCTTTGGTCTTCCTTATTCATTGTCCATCTTTAGCGTGTATATGAGGCGATGGAAAACACCATGGTTTGGGTTTCAGGTGCACCTTAGTCTTCAAGGTGACATCTTTGCTTTTTAACACTGTAAAGAGGTCTTTTGCAGCAGATTTAGCCAATGCAGTGCATCTTTTGATTTCTTGACTACTGCTTCTGTGGCTATCAATTGTGGATCCAAGTAAAATGAAATCCTTGACAACTTCAGTCTTCTCTCCTTTTATCATGATGTTGCTTATTGGTCCAGTTGTGAGGAGTTTTGTTTTCTTTATGTTGAGGTGTAATCCATACGGAAGGCTGTGGTCTTTGATCTTCATCAATAAGTGCTTCAAGTCCTCTTCACTTTCAGCAAGCAAGGTTATGTCACCTTCATAACTCAGGTTGTTAATCTTCCTGCAGTCCTGATGCCCTGTTCTTCTTCATATGGTCCAGCTTCTCAGATTATTTGCTCAGTATACAGGTTGAATAAGTATGGTAAAAGGATACAACCCTGACACACACCTTTCCTGACTTTAAACCACGTAGTATCCCCTTGTTCTGTTCGAATGACTGCCTATGTACAGGTGGTCTATGTACAGGTTCCTCATGAGCACAATTAAGTGTACTGGAATACCCATTCTTTGCAGTGTTATCCCTAATTTGTTATGATCCACACAGCTGAATGCCTTAGCATAGTCAATAAAACACAGGTAAACATCTTTCCGGTATTCTCTGCTTTCAGCCAGGATCCATGTGTTATTAGCAATGATATCCCTGGTTCCACGTCCTCTTCTGAATCTGGCTTGAATTTCTGACAGTTCCCTGTCGATATACTGCTGCAGCCCCCCACAGTACAACAGACTGACAGACGTGTGGGGGGATTCACCATGGTACTGCAAATTTCCTTTTCTGTTTGCTTTGACAGCCAAAATTTGGCTAGGGTATCTCTTCCTTTCTTTATAACTGGTGTGACTGTCCCCATTACGAGCTGGCTGTGACAGTGTTGTTGCTTAATTTAGAGTACTCTGTAGGCCAAATACAAACTAGGAGGAAGTGCTGCTGTGGAATCCTTTCACTGTGTGTGGTCTCCGTCACCTGACTGAACACCTAAAAGTGTTCCCAAGATGGGAATTGCATTTTTCTAAGCTGCCTTATCTTTTTTCACGTGTATTCTCTGCTGCTGTGAACTGAGGAAACCCTTTACTTGTTGCCGATGTGGACTTTTCTATCCCATGAAATAAATTATGTGTTGAGACCTTTTCTCAATTTGGTCTCCCTTCTGTGCTGTCTTGCGTAAGTTTCTAACATATGAATACTAATTTAAGTTATTTAAAATGATGATATGGATTATGTCCTACTGTATATGTTTCTTTGGACATTGTGAGAATTTGGTTATGAGGGAACTTAAAAACTGTTTATATAGTATCATCTCGAACTTTTTTAAAAAATTTATTTATGCTATCTCTTTAGCATTCTCTACATATTCTGAGTGTCCGTTGTGCTCACTCTCTTTCACAGATTTTCTTATAATTCTTGGTTTTGTTTATCTTTTTTTTTTCTATGTTGTCTCTCCAGCTGGATTTTAAGCTCCCTAACAGCATTAACTTTATGCTTTCATCTTGTAAAATGTATAGCATAATTCCTTGCAGATAACTAGGTACTCAATAAATATGTTAGTATTATGTAATAGTGACGAGGTAGTTGATTATTTCATTGTAAACAGTTTCTGCCATGTTTCCCAGTTGTTTGTAGAATAGAAGTTTTATTTAAATTTAACTGTCATGTAACTAAAAGTCATGTCTTAATCAGTAAGGTAGGAATGTCAAAATGTCTAATTGTATACTTTTAGTCAATAGTTTTTTAAATGTTTAACAGTGTTTTACTTAAGTATTAATTAATTGCCGTGTTCTAATTTATAGTAAAAAATTTAAGAATTGTTATTCTTAATGTAAAATTATTTGAAAGATCATTTTTATTTGTTTTAAATTTTTTGTTCTTATTGTTTTAATATATGTTCTAAATATTAAAAACCTAATGCTAATAACTTTATTAGTTCTAAACCTTAACACAAAATATGCTAGATTGTTACTATTTTGCTATTTACTATTATATTTAGTTATAATTTTTTTATTTCAAGAAAAGAAGAATAAAGGAAAGGTGGGAAAGTGAGGAATATACAAGTGTGCACTTTTTAGTCATTCCTCTTTTGTAGGCTGAAAAAAAAGTGGTACAGAAAAGAGAGGTAGGTGATTAAAGATGTAGAAAAACTTTTTGAGTTCCTGCTTCCTTATATGCAAAAAGGAAAGAATAATAACAAGCTCACAAGGTTGTTATAAAGGTTAAATAAGATAATAAATTAAGTACCACAGTGCCTAGCATAAAGTAGCTACTTAATAGTTCCTTTACACTCTTGTGCTAAGGACCATAGTAAGCAGTTTGGGGAATTCAAAGGAATAATCATATAGTCCCTGGGGTCAATAATTGTATTTACAAATTAACTAGGGAACAGTTGCAAGTAGCCTCATCTGCTTGCCATGGTGTGTTACACAGGTGTTAGCATTGTTTTGTGTGTATCATGAAGTGAAAAAGGTGGTGAAGCTTGGTACAAGACAAGTTCAGTAGGATGAGTAATCCAAGCAAGCATCAGAAAGATGGAGGCAGTTTAACCTGGATCATACGGTGTGGAGCAATTAAATAGATGTGAGGATCAGTCACAGGGCAAGGAGGGTTCCAGGTTGGTATAATCAAATTAGCAAAGGCACAGAGATAAAACTGGTAGTATGAGAGATTTTTCAAGTTTGATTAGAGAGCGAGGGTTTTTAGGAGGGAGAATAATGGGTTAGAACCTGATTGTGGAGGGATAATTAAAATACTGAAAAATTTAAAAATGGATTTAATATATTTTATTATAAATTGGCTTTATAAAAATCAAAGATAGATTTTTTTTTGTGGAAAATTGAATTTGCCACAAACCATGAGAAGCTCGTACATTTCTTTCTGATTCTGTTAGTAACCAAGTCTGACTTCAAATTGTGTGATAAAATTTCTTGAATTGTTCTTTGTTTATTAATATGTTTGGGGGTTACAGTGCCATTGTTAACGCATTTCAAAATTGTTGATTTTGTTGTATTTTCCCAACGAGAACATGGGCTATGAATGCTGGAGTATTACACTTAAGCTGTATGTCTTTTTTTTTTTTTTAAGACTATTGAGTTTCATGCCAACGTCATTTAGATGGTTTCAAGTTCTATCTAACACCTCATTTTCTACATATGATAGATTGCTTACTTGCATTGATTTCTAAAATGTACATAACTAACAGAAAAATACTTGTGATTATTAGTATTTCTTTATGGTATTTTTAAATGAAAATATATTTAAATCTTTTAGTTTTATTTAGATTAAATGTAAATTAAGATTAAATGTAAATCATGAATACTTTTAAGGATACTGTAAACTTGTGTTTCTTGTTGAAAGAAAATTAAAAAAAAAATTGATATAAAAGCCAAGAGAATTTGACAGTGCTAGTAATTATGTTTTCCTATATTTCAGGCAATATTTGATCTTTCACCACAGCAAAAAGAGTGGCAGAGGTAATAAGTAAACAGAGTATTGTGGTCCATAAAAACCTAAGTCACGTTTGTGGAAAGTTATATTATTTTGTCTGTTGTAAACTACCCATAGGTTAACACATTGTTCTAGGTATTTTTTGTATATTAGCAAAATAGAATGTATAATATAATCCTTACAATTCCAAAAATTGTATCAGATCTTAGGGAAGTCATGCATAATATTTTCTCTATTGCACTTTGAATTATACGTTTTAGTTTTGACTTAAAGCTTTGTTAACAAATTTAAAAATGTTAATTGTAAAAGTAATATATGATTATTGTTAAAAAGTTCAATTTGGATAGAAAGGATATAAAGAAAATGTAAATGTCCTCTCCTCATGCCCTAAACCTAGCATCACTGGATAATGGTAATAACCAGAGTTAAGTTTCTTGCATAGCCTTCTAGAAATTTTCTGTGCACGTAGAATTTCCTCTATGTTTGCATATAAGCTTATGCTATTTTTTTCTTAATAAAAATGAGATCATTCCATACATGTGTTCTGTAGCTTGCTTTGTCTTACCTAACTTGATGTTTTGGGCATCTTTGCATTTTAGTTTGCTTATTAGTCCACCGTATGGATAGACTATAGTTTATTTAATTGAAGCGTTATTGATTGGCATTTAATTGCTTCCAGGATTTTAATATTAAAACAATGCTTCAGTGAACATCTTTGAACCTATTCCTTTATGGACTTGTGATAGATAGATAGAAGATCTATAAAAATGGGATTTTTATTTCAGAGTATTTAACATTTTGATAGGAAGTGCCACATATCCAACCAAAATCTTGTTTCACCTTCACTCTGAAACTGTCTGAGTGCTTGTTTCTGTGCAGCCTCACCGACAGTGAGTATAACCAGACTTTTTTTATTTTTGCTAATTTGTTGGGTGAAAAATGGTACTTCAGTAATTTTAATTAGCATTTCTTTAAGAAACAATTGAATATCTTCCCCGGATTTTTTTCCCCTTTTGTATTTCCTTATCTCTGAAACTATTTATTCATGCTATTTGCCCATTTTGCTTGGTTGTTGGCCTTTTTCTTAATAATTTTTAAGAACTCTTTGTATGAAGAAATTTGCCTTTTGTCTGTTACAAGTGTTTTTTTCCCCACTGTATACTGCTTTTTCTTTTTCTCTTTTTGGCTTCCAGGCTTTTTCTTGTGCTTAGAAAGGCACTTTAAGATTATTTAAGATGATTGTTTATTATTATTAAAACTTTTTTTCACCCATCTGTACCTCCCGCCCCCATCCCTAGATACATTTCAAAGGCCTTTTAATTTCTGATTTCACCCTTTTGGGAGACTTAATATTAAGTGTACTCTGGGCGTCTAGTGCTTATAGTGGAAGGCCACCTAGGTACAAAATACTTTAATCCAGAAATATTAAAGCAAGATGCCTGGGATTTTATTTTATTCATTGCTGACGACTAGCAATAAGTGGGAGCAGAGATTGTGTTTTTACTATTAAAATGATAGATATTTCCTATCATAGTAGAATTTTTATATACCTGAATGTATAGAATATTAGCTTGGGTGTGTATTGGTAATGTGAGACAGAAATTTACACACACACACACACACACACACACACACACACA